GCACTTCTTTTGTTTTGAGAACAATGAGAGTAAATATCAATAAAGTGTGCTACTACTACTAACGCATCGGAACAAACACATTATTGATGTGTGTACGGGGAAATCATTGATATTATTGATGGTTTCTGCTCGATAGAACCGCAATGGGCTATTACGACGAAGTAGCGCTCTACCCTATACTGTATTTGCAAATATATACACGCAAAAAAAAAACTTCTCTTACATCCTATGTAAGGTTGGATTTATTAATCTTCTGCATATGTTTCATACAACAAATGTAATAATAATTCTTGCAATGAGCTGGAGTTTTTTTTTAAGAATGCATATTTTTGAATAAAACCTATACGAAAAAAATTTCAAGACGCAATGCGTTTGGGAAAACAAACTTTGCTCAAAAAATAAACTAACATAAAAATTGTTAAACTATTTTAAAAACCTTCCACCGACCGCATTAAAGAATTTGTTCATGTCGCATAACATTGCAAATCTGTAATAGAATCTTGCATTTTTGATGTCTCCTAATACCGACACTATGCAATGCTATGTCTATGGAATGTTCCGTCTAATGGCTATAGGAAAATGGATTAACATTACAGATCTAACCGAATCTGCAATTTGGTGTATGTGAATTCTGGCACAACTTGTGAAAATATCCAATGAACCAAATGTGAACAATGACTTTAAATGACATCGACAGTAGCATCTGGTAAAGTAAATTTCGTTTACTAGATGCTGATGTCGGCCTACCAGAATGAGTACTATTCCGTGAAAAATCGACGTTCATTGTCATTGTTTACGTATGGCTGATTGACTCTTTTCACGTGTTGCGCTGGAATTTAATGGACCTAAAATAAAAGTAAACACAAACAGTAGTTTTGAGACTTCTGAATTCATATTCAAATACATACACAGTATAAGCACGGCATCGAAGGTGTCAAAAATTTATTTAAATAAACTTGCTTCAGCTTTAGAAAATTTATGTTTTTATTAGTCGATTTCCAGACATTCCATTTGTACGTCTTTTTTTCGACCAATATGGCGCTAACGGAGGTGCATATTGTAGACAGCAAATTATTTAAAAACCACCGTGCTGTGGTTTCGAAATCAATGTTTTCCAATTTTAAGCTCACTTCATGTGAGATTTACAATAGTAAACAAATATGTTGTGTGAATATCTACTGAGCATTCTGCAGTTGAAAGAAGAGCAGCAAAATGGAGCACATGCAAGACGACAACGGATTGATGCTCGTTAAGAAAATTTTCCTTAGATGGGCACTGCTTATTTTCCGCACTGCTGTTACGGTTTTAGAAAACGCAACTAGGAGCTCGAGATCATCTACAAAGATAATGGACGTCGAAATGTCGTGGAACACATCAGAAATAACATGAGCGACTTTCGAGAGACTAACAGCGATGCAGAGAAGGACAGCAAGTTCACATATAGGCTCGAAAATTGAGCAGAGAGTGAAAGTCAGTCAAACTTGGTGAGATCGTTCTAAATTTTAATGTGTTATTATTGCTCTTATTTATGGTTTTGCTAAATACGCGCCAGATTAAAACAAGTATTTTTTTATTATTCTGAAAGTGTGAATGCATTACATGTATCCAATTGATATATCGATGTGTTCATGCGGGGCTTATTGTTTATGAAGGCAACCTCAGAATGTACTTGTATGAACAGTCATTCTTAAAATGGGTCTTTGGATTTACAGTAGAGCTATCACCTTCCATCTCCAGGGCTGAAAATGTTTTCATCTATATATAATAGACCTGTTCATTTAACCAGAAGTGTTCGGGATGCACCGGGTCAACCGTGATTACTGTTCGTCATGTTAATTTGAATTTATGTGCAAATTTTCAGCAAAATCGGTGATGATCTAGAGGTGCTTCAAATTAATTTTATGTGTTTTAAGCATTTTACGGCTTATAATATTTGTATCTCAAGACTGAAACAACGTTCATAGCAAAGCTTAATGTGTTATGCACCAACTTTGTGACTAGAGGTTGACTATTCAAAGTTATTTTAATGAAGTTTGACTTAGTTTCATGCTCGAAGATATGTTAAAAAGTGATGAATTCTAACTAATATGATATAAAAATGCTTAGTCTACGGCATAATGTTCCTTACACTGTTCTAGAAATTTCGTTCAAACATAGTTTTCGTGAAGATTTCATAGATTGAGAGATAAAAATCAGAAAAGAGGCCGTTATACCTCAAATTCACAAGACAAGAGAGCCAATAAAAGTTTCAATTAGATTGACAGAACATAGTTGCATTGCTTTCAATGACGACCGATGACTGTTTCATTGATAGATGATTTTTTTTAGAAACATGAATCCTCAGTAAACGTGTTTTTTTTTTATCAAACGCAAGTGTCACTCAAGCCATCCAGAATGGAAGATGTGGAGTTTGTGTGGTAAGGCCGCATTTTGAAAGAAATTGTCTACCATCCGCAAGGTGAGTTCTTTTGGTATTTTTCACTACCATCGTAAAGAACAAAAATCTGTACTGCAGAGTTGCGCAATAGTTGCTCAGAAAATAGCAGTAATTTATAAAATATCGAACATTTTGGACGGCTCGAGTGACACTTGCCATTGATAAAAAACACGTCTACTGAGGATTCATGTTTCTAAAAAATCATCTATCAATGTTCTCTTCCTTTGTACATATCTATTGCTCCATAAGTATCACATAATTCTTCCTAAAGTAAATTAGGAAGCCTTCAATGCAAGAGCGAACAGGTTATAAATAATGCTAACGGAAAGCAAACCCTGGAGGCTGCATTCGACTTTTGTTATTTTCGATAGCATTGACAGAAGACATTGATACAGATATTACAGCATTGATACAAGAAGCAATCTTAGAACGACGCACGTTTGCTTAAAAAATCATCGCACACTGATTTTAAAGCCCAGATAATTTGAAAGCCGTTATAACTGCTGAGACAGATTGATGCCCTTCAAATCTCTAAAAAAGTTACAACTTCTGAAGCTCAAGTACCACTTATGCTAAGGAAATAGATGATACCGTGCGGGACCGAAATCCATACATCATAGTGCGACCTAAAATATGAATCAAAATCCCCGCAACCTCATACAAAACATACAAATGTATGTCGTGTACGAATTTCCATCCTGTACAGATTAACAGTTCTTACTCGAGAACTTTCTAAGCCTGTACCATTTTCGTATATTTCATGACAAACACAAAATTTGATTAGTTTTTCAAGTCGTAATATTCCCTTGCTCGACCGGGAATCAAATCTGCTGCCTATTTGACGGAAAATCTCAAAAAAGACTCATGCAATTCAAACTGAAAATTGGCAACGTTAAATTATGGACCACATTGTGCTTCGTCAAAACCAAGTTATTTACAATTTACATTTTACATAATTCTAAACGAGTAATTGGGCCTTATTACGGGTGTTATATGTTAAAATACTTCTACCGATCGCCGTTTGCATTTCGTTACAACGAACAACCATTTTGAAATCAGGCTTCAAATTCTGTTTAGATAGTTTGATTTCAAACTATATTTCATAAATAATGTTAGCAAACATGCAATTCTATATCGTTCAGTAGAAAGCATGCTATTTTTCATGACACAATTGCTCTAGGCCAGAAACCAGTTCAAAGATGTTATAAAGTTAGAGGCTGTTGTTCTCGATTCTAAGTTGTCATTTGATGATGTACAATAAATAACATGAACAGGTTTATCAAACGATTTAGTATGCACTTTAATGATCCTTACACAATCAAAGCCCTGTAGTTTGAGCTCCATTTCATGATACACATCTTCTTCTTCGCATTTCAAGCTTATTTTATATCACATATTAGCTTATTGCGTGCTTTCAACTTAGTGTTCTAGATGTTCTTCATCAGTTATAAATTGAGAGCTTCCGATGCCTTAACCATTTTTGCATTAGTATAATTGTGTAGCAAAAGAACAGAAATTCAATTACGGCAGAAAAATCTAGAGGAAATGACGACTTCGGCACTCCTTTACCTATTATCATAAGGGGGTAATGATGTCCTTGAGTGCTGATTTGTTGCACATAGGTGCATCATATTCCAGAGCATCGTTTTGCATAAATTTAACACTCTAAGATTTCATTTACTCCCCTGACGAAAATGGGTGTTCAGTATTCTCAATTCCACAGCCAAATGAAAAGGTATTTTCATGTGCCGTCTAATAGCAGTGCATTAGCTATTCTTGGAAGAATGCCACTTCATTCACACGCTAGGTTGAGAAAATCCATATTCTTATCGCCGAAAAATCATCAACCTTTCAAAAACCCAGGTCCCTTTCGATTTTCCAATGTGTGCTAATGGTTAAGTCTGGAGCAGAATCTATTCTGGTTTCAAATGTTGAAAATTTTCACCAGAAACGTCAATTATGCAGAGTGATTACTTTCTGTTGATACATTCCAACACGAAAATCATTTAACGACAAAAATGCATAAATCAATCAATTACGAACGCAAGCGAACAACTTGTGTTTGGCATGTACATACTTTTCGGATGCCATTGATCTACCGGAATTAATTATTAACATTCCGTTCTGGTCAGATTTGCACCGCCAGGTAGAAAACAACTCCGCGCCGATCTGCTGTCTGACTTATTTGGAGATTCACAAAAAAATCGCATTTCCATTTAATTTCAATCACATTCACATGACGGCTGAATAGTAGAGCATCAGCTCCAAGCCATCCAAACAAACAAACAAACAAACAGACGATCCATTCAATCCACCAGTCCCGGCAGCAGCAGTAGCAGATTTATCTGCTGCTCAGCCCTGCTGCTGCTGCTGCTGTTGGCAACATATTTTTCCCCTATCTGCCATGCTCAATTAGCATTAAAAAGCTCAGGGAAATCAAAACCTCCCCCATGTTCCTGCCTCCCATTCCCACCCACCCACACCCACACACACAATGGCACAGTGCAAAGTGCAATACATCTCTCACCGCGCCGCATTCGTTCACACCAGTTTTCATACATACCTCCACATTGTGCAGAATGGTTTGGCAATTTTCCACCGGTACGTTATCCCTTATCTCGATGACGACATTTTTGTACGCGGATTTTTCCACGTAGACCGCGCTGGTAGCGGTGGCCGCGGACACCGGTTCAACTGCCAGCGCACTCAGCGCCACCGCCAGCACTTTGATGAATATTGTTGTTTGCAGCATTCTGCGCTTATTTCTCGTATTTTTTTTCGTTTCGCCGTGTGTTTGCGTCAACTTGCACTATTGCCACTGTTGTCCTGTTTATGTTCGATGTTTTCAATTTGGCATGCGAGCTTTAGAGCACTGCACTAATCTGTATGCAAAGCGCACCGTATTTATCACCCGAAATGGGCCTACACTGCTGCTGCTGCTGCCGCAGTCATGTTCGAATGTCACTTGGTTTTTTTGTGTGTGTGTCAATCCCCTCCAACGTGTTTGCACTATCTTCGTTACTGAATCAGCACCAGTATGTCGAGAATTTCAACGGATTTCGTTTCGCACGGGCCTAGGATCCTGCCAATCGATCTTTCAATAACGGGAAAATCCTCTCTGCTCGAAAGTGGCACATTTCTTGTATCAAGCACTGCGCTTTTTTTTCGTTGGTCGAAAAATTCCCTCACAAAAACCAATTGTACATCAGAATGCGATACAAGAACACTTTGCGTCGAGTAACCGAGCTTCTACAACCAAACCGTGTGCTTCTCCGCTCATCTAGAATGGGCACTTGTTATGCTGACTGCTGACCCGCAACCAACCGAAAAACCAAACCAAACAAACAAAAAAGCCCCAAACAGTACACCACCACAACAACAACAACAACAACAACACCAACGACCGGTAAGGTACACTCTTGAACAATTCCCCTTCGCGTTCAGTCCGTACGGTGGACGGGGGCTCTCAAGTTTCACGAGTTTTTACAACCCGACTGCGCTCCGCGCGTCTTCCACTTTCCAGGTGTCGTAACTTCCAATGCTTGTCTGCGGTACACACTGGACCTAACCACACCAACCGACCGAGCTCTTCTTCAACCGATCCGGTTTTTTATGTTTTAAATGCTCTCCACAACAGCAGATGCTCTAGCACTTTCCCGATCGACCTGTGACTAACTTTCTATACAGTATGCTTCTCTCGGACCGAATGCGTCCAAACGCAACGAACGTCAACTGCGGACTAACGAGGACCTGCCTGCCTGCAGCAGCATAGCCAGAGTTACGAAACATCGACAACGACGAGAGCATCTTCACGACTCGGTCTTCGCTCGGCAGTCCCACTCGGTCGGTTCATCCAAAGTTATGCAAAAGCATGGCCCGGATGCGGTGGGGTGGGAGGAAGCAAAACATGAAAATGATGCTCTATGCTTCTCGGGTCATTCGGGAGGGGGTTCATGCTCTCGCTCCTGCTTACTGCCATTCGTGCGAACCAGGGTAGGTGGAATGGAATGGAATCAAGCGTGCGATGAGGGAATGAACTGTTTTGTTTTGATTCTGGTTCGTTCGAGCGGGTCCTAACACTTCCCGATTCGGAGGGTTCACGGATTCACTTCGGGTGGGTGAATATTGGCCAATGTAGCGGGACGTTGGGAGTGATACGTATCGCGCTATGCTGCTGTGACATAAATGATTCCAATTAGATCGGGAGCGACATGAATTCATCCTCAGTGATGAACGTTTGTTCGTTACTTGCCGGTTGGATAGACGATGAATTTTCTGCCCCTGTGGAGCAAAGTCTCGATATTCTTTTCAGTTATTTCTTTTTCTTGATTGTGCATCAAAATTGGGACGGAAATAAACGAACCATTTGATTTGTTGGGGGAAAATCTGGCTCTAAAACGTCTTTCTAGAGGTCTGTTTCAAGCGTATTTCATACTTTTCCAACGAAGTTTTCAAGCTGTAAAATTTTCTAGTTTTGACCAGTGCTGTCATGGTAAATTAAGAGCTGGTTGCTTACTGATTTTTTTTCATATGGACGCTCAAATCTATAATTGTAATTTGGAGATTTAGGGTTGATGCATATATTATGTCACGCTCTAGGGGGGGGGGGGGGGGGAGTTCTAAGATTTTGTGACAAGCAATGCATTAGGTATAGGAAAAACGTCACGATAGGGGGGGGGGGTAAATTTCTCCTCGATTTAGCGTGACATAATTAATGCATGGGCCCTTACACATGATTTAGCTCCATCTAACTACAACTAGGGTACGGGTTAAAACTCGTCTGCAATCAGCTCGCTTGAAAATACTAATCTAAACGCTACTATGTTTTATGACCAGGCTTAAAAATTATCCGGATAGGCATGGGTAGGTGTTCCATCCAAGTAATCACGATGTTCCATTCAAGTAATCGCAGCAACCTACAGCTGCGACCGAGATGGAAAAATTAGTGATTTTAAAAGTGTAGATGTCAACCTGAATAAAAGTATAGTTAGAAGCACTCAAACTTTCTTTATTCTTTGTGAAGAACACTCCAGTTGGCGACGAGGATTTTTCTGGAAGCTCACAAGTTCAAGAAATTCCAGAATCGAACCGAGGAAGGATAGCGGCGACAAACGAAGAACTCCAAGCAGCGATTTTGCAGCTTCTTCAGCGGTTGGCCGTTCCACAAGCAACGAACCCAGGGCAAGTTTTGGAATCCCTGTCGACGAACATCAGCGAGTTCTGCTTCGATCCGGATTTGTTTGAAAGCGACGCACGAAGTCTGGACGACGCAGCCAAAGTTAGGCTTCTGCTCCGGAAGTTGGACACGTCCTCTCACAGTCGCTACGTCAAATACATCCTTCCGAAACTACCAAAGGACGTCACGTTTGCCGATTCCGTCATGACACTCACAAAGATCTTCGGCAGACAGACCTCCGTATTCCACAAACGCTACCAATGCATGCAGCTACTCAATTCCGAGGCTGACGACATAATCACCTATGGCGGAAAAGTCAACAGGGCACGTGAAAAGTTCGAGTTCCAGAATTTGAAGATTGATCACTTCAAGTGCTTGATTTTCGTCTGTGGTCTCAAAGCACCACGGTACGCAGACATTCGAGCAAGGCTTCTACCCCGGATTGAAGGTGAAACGGCTGATGCTCCGGTGACAATTCAAACTCTGATCGACGAGTTCCAGTGGCTCGTCAACATCAAGTCGGACACTACGATGATCGAACATCCATCAAGTTCGAAGAATTCGGTCTATAGCATTTCGGAGAAGACACCCGGAAACCAGCATCGTCGACTGAAAACGGAAAGCAAGTCCACTCCTCGTACTCCATGCTGGCAGTGTGGTCAGATGCACTACGTCCGTGACTGTCCATTTTCTGATCATCTCTGCAAGCTATGTAACCGCATCGGTCATAAAGAAGGCTACTGTAGCTGCATCAAGAAGTCTTCAAGTGACTCTTCAACTCAACCTCGAGAGATCAAGCAGTTCCAGAAGAAGGCAGGTCCCAGATCTCAAGCCAAGGGAATTTTCGTGAAGCATATCGCAAACAGCAACCAAAAACGCAAGTATGTGACCATCAACATCAACGGTGTCATGACTTCGCTACAACTGGATTCTGCAAGTGATATCACGGTGATTTCCAAGAAAACTTGGCAGCAACTGAGACGACCAAAGCTAACTCCATCATCGATCGAAGCCTCCAACGCATCTGGTGGACCACTTGCTCTCATCGGAGAATTCCATTGTGAAGCAGTCGTCAATGACATGGTCAAGCGTGGTCAGTGTTTCGTAACGTCATCACCAGATCTCAACGTAATGGGTATTGATTGGATCGACATGTTCAACCTGTGGTCGGTTCCGTTCGATACTCTCTGCAATCAAGTTTTTGCTGTATCCAGACCATGTTTCGCCGAAGCTAGAGCACAGCTGCAAGCCGAGCATCCGGCGGTTTTCGACGACTCGCTGGGCCACTGCAAGAAAACTAAGGTAATGTTATTCCTTAAACCTAACGCCAAACCAGTTTTCTGTTCGAAGCGACCAGTTCCGTTCAACACGATTCCGCTGGTGGATGCAGAATTAACACGTCTTCAGTCTCTGGGAATCATCACGCCGATCGATTTATTAGAGTGGGCCGCTCCGATTGTAGCAGTACGCAAGCCGAATGGTAAAGTTCGCATCTGTGCGGACTACTCCACGGGACTCAATGAAGCGCTTGAAGCAAACCACTATCCACTACCTACCCCGGAGGAGATCTTTGCACAGCTCAACGAAAGCACCATATTCAGCATCATCGACCTTTCCGATGCATATCTGCAAGTGGAAGTAGATGAAGAATCGAAGAAGCTCCTCACCATAAACACGCATCGAGGCCTCTTCCACTTCAACCGGCTCGCTCCAGGGGTGAAGTCAACGCCTGGAACATTCCAAAGACTGGTTGACAGCATGATAGCCGACATTCCTGGTGTTCGGTCGTTGGCTTAGATGTTTTCTAGATTCAACTTACAATTTGCTGGCGATCAACTAAATACGATTTAATTCAGGTAAGGAGCTTCATCTCAATTCCCATTGTTTCTAATTTAAAAATCAGCATGGGGATATCAATTCTGTCAAACGCTTTGCTGAAGCCTGTATATAGAGCTTCTACTTGGTTACCTCTGTCCATTGCATTTAATACGAAGTCCACAAATTCCAAAAGGTTTGTGGTGGTTGAACAGGCCGTGTTGTGCACTAGTTATTCTTTGTTTTATTTGGCCAAAAATATTTTATTTATAATTGATTCCAAGAGTTTTAGAATGCACGAAATGATAGCAATCCCACGATAATTTCGAATATCGGATTTTTTACCTGATTTATATATGGGTATTAAGTAACATTTTTTCCATTCCTTCGGGAATATACCGGATTCAAGTGACATATTAAACAGCCAGAATAAAGGGGTTGTGAGTTCAGTTGCTAAGTTTTTAATAAAAATAGGTGGGATTTCATCTGGTCCCGAATCTTTAGTGGTGTCCAAATCTCGTAGGCCATTCCAAATATCATGAGCCGAAATGTTATTAACGTCAACAGTAGTTGAAAAGTCAGGAAAATAAGAAAAATATTCATAATCACGATAATTATTTTAAAATTTCGTGCATGTTTCTTGAAAAAAAGTGGCGAAAAGATTACATATATCATCAGAATTATTACCTTCCTTTTCATGCAGTGTCATTTTTGACGGAAGCTACACGATTTCATTTTAGTTTTGACGTAATTGAAGAAGTTTCTTGGACATGATTTAATTTCATTCTCAGTTTTTATGTTATACTCAGACAGTGCCAAAGTGCCAGTGCGATGGTGAACAAAATTATCACCAATTAACTGCAAAAAGCGCTTTCCCTAACACAGATTTCAAAACATCATCATCATCAGCAGCAGCAGAGGCAGCAGTCCTTTATGCGCGTGACGTTGAACATTGTTCTCCAGTACGAAGAAGCCGCACCGCTACTGATAGGATTCAGTAGCTCTTCGTGAGTCGCTGTGGACCATCTATGCCAAGCGTGCTACCCTGGATCCAAACACCATACAGCTCGCCAGCCTCATCTGTGTTGAACACTCTAAGAGCTCAGCATTACTCAACCATCACGACAAACCGGTTCTTTTCTGGACCACCATGAATTAGTTAAAGAGTATTTTTTGTACATTTTTCAAGGTTATCAACCGGATATCAGTTCCCATAAGTTTGAATCGAGCATACCATGTATTTTAAGACAATATTGGAGGTTCAATTTCAAAAACCAAAGTCGGTCGTAGCATGAAAGTGGTCTGATTTTGATCCAGAGAGTTTGAGTTTTCCGTAGATCTTGTTTTCTGTGCTAAGCACCAAAGCTACCGACGCCAAGGAGGCAGCTCCCACACCTGGACCCTACCTATCGACCCATCAACTCATGCACCGGGGACCAAACATAAAACATAAGGTTGCAAATACTGAAGAAAGAAATACGGATCGGAAAAATCGGCACAGACCAACACGAAGAAATAAGGACTACGGTTGGATCATGGAACTGCAAATCATTCGGCATCCCGGGCTGCGATAGGTTAATCTATGATGAACTTCAACCACGCAACTTCAAAGTCGTAGCACTGCAGGAACTTTTCTGGACGGGTCAAAAGGTATGGAAAAGCGGGCATCGAGCGGCTACTTTCTACCAGAGCTGTGGCACCACCAACGAGCTGGGAA